TTGCACAGACAGATCTGTTTTTGAACAGAATGTTTGCAATGAAGAATAAACAGGACATGGAGAGCAAAATGTGGTGAGGTCATGTTATAATCTGGGATACAGGTGTGAAAAGTAAAGCCTTTGATTGTTCTTGTCCCCTTAGAGGTGATATATAACCGACAGTAATAATTTTCTCCAGTTATAAAATTTGTGTCTCTTCCACACAACAAACAAAATCATTCACATTGCAAGATTTCTCTGACCTTTCAACACTGAGGCACTTCCTTAGAAAACAATCATAGCAGCTGATAATGAAACAAAGTTTAGACTCAGAAAGCCTAAAATTTATAAATAATATATGAATAATGTCATGTCAGCTGAGCCCAATCCCAAATATTATGAATGCTATATAGCCCTCAGATTCATGCAGATCTCTGTGACATTGAGCCACTTCATTCTTCAGATAGGGGTAAGTAAAAGTAAAGCTATCCCTGTACCAGGCCATGAAGGCCCATAGGGTTGTGAGACGTTGAGGGTCCTACAGTATCTAACACTATCTAGACAATCAGCTCAAAGATGGCGGTAAGGTTGTTAGAGGCTGAGTAAACCCCAGGGCCTAGTGTGGCTGGAAGGATTGGTATAACTGGCTTCTGTGAGGCTTCAAGCCCCACAAGTAGGTCGCCACTCATAACTGCCATCACATTCGCCTACATGTTTGGTATCACTTATAACTGCCCCTTTGTTGCCCTTCTGACTGCAGCTCCATCTGAATAGTAGTGCAGAGAGTGGGAGTTGATGATGATCGGCCCCTCTGCTCCGATGACCACTTTGACACTACCCTACATGGTGTTGCCACTGCTGAAGTTGCTAAGTCGTGACTGGTTTCGGCTTGACCCAGCTCCACCGCTTCTTCCTTCCGTTGAGATTATTGGGGGTTGGATTTCAGGATGGGATCTGATGGTGTGGGCGCCAGCAAACGGTTAGAGACTGTTTACGGTTCAGAGTAAAGTGGGTGAAAGCGTGAGCATGTGGAAGCTGACGGTGGGTTTGACTAGACAGTGGAGACTGGTCTCTCTTCAGGTCGGATACAGGTCAGGCTCGGACAAGTGAGGGTGAAGCACCTCTAATCAACACAATTCACTGTACCACCACAACACTTTATTGTTGTTCTTTTTAAAGACACTCGGCTGCATAAATTCACACAATCTGATTTAGTTTTGGCTTACAAGCAGCTGGCGTTACACTTGCACAAAATGCACTTGATCAGCTCAACTTATAACCGTCTGCTTATGGATTAAGCTAAATCTCTATATGAGTCGTTATGAGCAAAATTTTGTACTTCATACAATTATCTTTTAGCGCGTGTGATGCAGGGTTTGCCTCTGCCAAGTTCTAAAGTTGATAGATGACTAAGATCTTAGACTGAACTCTCTGCCGAGCCAGAGGTCCTAACTGGGTTGTATCTGCCTCCTCTCCTCCTAATTTTCCTGATAGGCTGATTCAAATAAGAGGAGTTAGCTTAATTTTTGTTCTGGCCTATGACAGTTTGTTTTTAAGGGAATTTCGCCCTAAAAGACCAAATGGCGAAATTGAGAGCAATGCAACTTATGAGGGGTCACTAATGATCTCCCGGCACTCCCACTTTTGACTTACGGCTGGTAGAAACTGTCACTTCTCAAATTCTCAAAGTGGCTTGCCGCTGTAAGTCAAATTCTCAATTTCTAAAGAAACTCAGTGGGGTTTCTTGAAATATAATTTCTGCCCTTTTGAAAAATAACACCAGATGCTTGGACGCGAGGACTAGCAGGTGTCGTTGTCCACGCAAGTTTGGTCTATCTGCTCATCGCCTATTCCTTGTTCTTACAGTGTGTCTTAAACCTTTGTTTCTTCATAAATTCTTATTATTAACTCTATCAGCTACTGAAATAAAAAAGGGGGGGGGACGATNCGGTGCAGTTACATTAGGTCAACTGAAAAAAATCCAATGCCCTCATCGGGACTTGACCCCACGACCTTCCAGCTTGTAGCATAGCCCCTCAACCAACTACACTACCGCGTGCCCCCTTCAGATAGGGGTATTAATATTAAAGAATTCTGATACAGTATTGTGAAGCAATTTATTAAAAAGCATCTTTGAATTTATAGTATAGTTTTTCTTTTATCATGAATTATTACATTTTCAGTACTTATGTTCTATTATTAGACTTCAGACTTAAACGATATCATTCAGTTTTCATCATGTGTATATTCATTAACCAGTTTTGCAGCTAATTGTCATGATCACTTAATAAACAGCCTTATATGCTACCAAAAATTGTAATAAACATTTTGCTGAATGTGTTAAAACACATAACCATAAAAACTAGACACTCAGCTGATCAGCACAAGTGATCAGAAACACCCCCTACATATATTTGGGGGGAGGGGTGCTTTCTATCTGCTCTTAATGCTATCTGGACACAATTGTCAGTTTGGCTTTTATGTACAATCCATAAGCACTACATTTTACTGTGTACTTTCTGATACAGTGCAGTGTACCGCAGTTCAAAAATCTCGTACACTGTATATTACATTAAAATGAAAACAGTAATTTTGAAAAACACAAACTTCAGCAGTTATGTCATAAGTCTCCATTAGATTTATGAAATTATTTAACATTGAAATATGCTTTTATATACTTATTGGGACCACAAAAGTAGAATTCAGTGTATGTGAAAATGTTGTTATGAAGATATCATTGAAGATATTCCACTTCACTGCAGGTGTTTCTTCTTTTTTGCTGTATCTTCTGCCATGACTGCTAATCGTATTCATTATGATGTTTCTAGGTCTGGCAAGTTTGCCACAACAAGTCTTACCTTCTCTTGAACAATTCACCAAGCTTGTACTGTGGTTTGGCAATGATATTGGATCATGGGATGCAGCAAGGAATTTTGCCAAGAAACTTGGAGAAAATAGGTGTTATTTTGTTAGGCCCATTGAAAAGCATCCTTCACCATCAGTGGCAGTGTTAGATAACCAAGATTTAAAGGCCATTATAACAGGGGCACAGCCAATATGGCACCAAGCTATAACGACATTTTCCAGTTTAAGGCAAGATGTCTTATCAGAGCTTCAAAACAATGAAAAAGTAAGTTAATAAAATAAAACAAATTTGTGGAGAAATAATAAATTCAAAATTAATTGCAATATATTTTGGAGCCAGAATCGTTCAATTTGTAACGAGATTAGGCTGTGGGTGGGCAACTGAGGAGTTGGGATTCTATTACTGGCAGGGGGACATGCCCTGTTGTGGGGCACACCATGCTTTCTGTCCAGTTGCATAGTGGGGGTCTTGTTGCCTTGAAAATCCACTCTGTAATATACCATATATGGGCCTGTGCATGGAAAATGTATTATTATTGACTGTACAAACTGTTATCATCTCAGGGTTTTTTTTTTCTTCTTTTTAAATCTTGACATTCACAGCTCACAGCAGTAAATATGATTACTGTTATCTAGGACAGGACACCGTTTAGTTTGATAAATGGGTACTAACATTTTGGAGGAACCAGCTGCCTCCAGCAGATTACTTTGAAATTTTGGTACTTATCTACAAAATTATGCAGTGTCACACAGTAATCTTCAAGCCTCTTAATTGTGTTCCATTCACTGATATTCAAGCAACTCTAGTTTTAAGATGATCTCCATCTTGAAATACTTATTGACAGCTATATCAGCAATTGATAATCTTTTCAGTCCAAATAATTACCTACAAATGAACCAACAAATACACATAAAATGTTAAGTGTTTTTATTCAGTTTTTTTCACAAAGTCTGTAGAAATGGCTTCATCATTTACTTCCCTTTGTGTTGCACAGTACTTCCTCAGCAACTGTTTCAGTTATGTTTCCAAAAGAATCCTGCAGTTGGCTGGGAACTGTGGTAATTGTTACATTCATCAGAGGTAGACTAAATTGTCTGTTCCATAACACAATAACATGTTTAAAGATGAATTGTGCAAGAAATGTAGAAATTATCACAGAAATATGTACTGTAGTGGAAATCTGGAAGCAAGAAAACTGGTTTCTGATGTTTATACAGTCTGGTCCCTACAAAATATGGACCGCATGGTGCAGAAGCAAGCAATTTTCTCCTTCTATATGTGTGCAAGTAAAGACTGCAGATACATAAAACCAAATATAGCTGTGAACAAAACTGGATTCGAATGGAAAATTGCAGATATTTGAAATTTGCGTTTTCAAAAACTGAAGCTGGTATGGGATTGCTGAATTCAGTTTGTGTTGGATCATACTTTATTTATGTCAGGAATCTTCAGTTGTAGTTCATGGATAATGTCTGAAGATGAATTTTAGAAAACTGAGCTACTGAAAGCACTGCTCTGTTAATTCTGTTTTTTGTTTTATTGCTGCTCCCATATTCCTTTTTGTCTGGGCAGTAGGAAGAGAATGTCAGTTGTGATAAAGGTATAATCAGTTATTTAGATCATTTTTTATTTTTATATAACTAAATAAATGGGTTGCTGGTCATGGTAGCTGAGCGGTCTAAGGCATATACTGTCTTCTCTCGCTCAGAAGCTGGGATCGTGGGTTCGAATTCCACACAAGGCATGGATGTTTGGTGTATATGGCTTTATTCTGTGTTTGTGTTGTCCTGTGTTTAGGTAGAGCACTTGCGACGAGCTGATCACCCGTCCAAGGAGTCCTACCGTCTGTAAAAATTATCAATGAAACTGAGAAATCAGCCTTGTGCTCCAAAGTGGGAGTGAAGAGGAAGAAAAAAAAATGAATGGGGACTTCACAGGGTCAGTGTGATGAAAGCACCTTTTGAGGAAGTGAGATTTGAAGTTTTCACAGTTGTGAAGATTCATATTCTGGCCTACAGCATTGTGACACCATGCAGTCTGGTAGATTTTTACCAGTAGTTGCAAACCAGAAAACCACAGTATGATTTTTTTGACCAAGAATTTCAGTCAGAGGAGTTTTGTGGGCAAAGAGAGATCCCAATTTTTAAACAAAAAAGTAATTGTATCAAAAGATGGGGTTGTTAAGCAGTAAGTTGAGTGGGTTCTTTGAATGGCCATGTGCTTTACTAGAGACTCAGAACAGCGCTGTCAGTGTCTATAAGGGTGCGTGGGAAGCTTTTCTGGTTCGCTTTTATACGCTGATGAATAAGTAGGTTTTCCATGTCTAGTTGTGGGTTAATGGGATGAGAGACATTTGAGTAGGACACATGAAGCACTGAGGGATGTATGACATAGTTTGAAAACATTCTGAACTCTATGAAAGCTTATCTTATGTCAGATCACAGATTTATTTCCCATTATTATTTCATCTTTTCCACAGTCATCCTATGCACACTCCTGGTGTCATTTGTACTTCTATCCATGAGCTTGCTTTCCCATATAAATAAAGTATAACTCACATAGTTAACAATGCAACCACTTTTTTCCTTAGAATTTTCACTTTTTACAACATGTTTCAGCCCCACCCGGCCATCATCAGGTATTTCAATTCGCCAAAACCGTTACCTGCATCGAATATGTCATATATTTCATGTGTAACTGCATTGTTCCATATTAATGTTGTGGTCACGATCCTGCTAACATTAGTCAATCCACCATACACTGTGACTCACTTTCTATTCTTTAAAATTCAATTTAAATTTTTTAAATTTTAATTATTCTTCTCGTCTAAGTTCTAAGGAATAAAGTGGTTGCATTGTTGATGGAACTGTAATATAAATATTCTATTTGAATGTATAAAAATGCAACAGGATGCTTAAATACAGTAAGTTATAACTCAGTGATAATATGATGAAAAATGTCATAATTCATTTAACCACCAATGTATGCAATGAAGGGAACCCAGGTTTCATTTCTTAAGTTCAGTTTTCTTTATTAAATTTAATTTCACAGTGAATGATCATGTTCATTCATTAAGGTGAGAGAAGTAAAATTGTATGCTTTTAGTTATACACTATATATGCTATAACCGCCCACCCTCTTTTTAGGCTTCTTGCCCACAAGGTGGTTGCCACTTGTCACTTTGACTGCCCTACCTGGTGCTGCCTCCGTTGAAGTTGTTAGGTCGTGGCTGGTTCCGGCTTGACCAAGCTCCACCGCTTCTTCCGGCTCCACCGCTTCCTCCTTCNCTCCTTCCGTTGCTGATTACGGGGGTTGGAATTTCAGGATAGGACCTGATGTTATGGGCGCCAGCAAATAGCTAGGTGCTGTTTGCGATTCATTTTAAAGGAGGGAAGGCGTGAGTGGGGTGGAAGCTGGCGATGGGTTTGACTAGCTCTTGGCGATGAGTTCTCTCCTCAGGTCGGCTAAGGGTCAGGCTCGGACAAGGAGGGTGAAGCACTTCTGACCAACACAATGCACTTTGCCACTGGAACACTTTATTGTTTCACACAGTAACTCGGAGTCAAAAATCTACACTAAAAGGCCTAGTCTTGGCTTCCAAGCCGCTGGTGCTGTACTTGCCCAAATTACTTATCTTAACGCGCAAGTATATTCGCGGGGTTACCTCCGCCGAGTTCAAAGTTTTGTAGCAGACTCTTAATCTTAAACTGGACTCTCTGCCGAGCCAGAGGTCCTAACTTAATTGTATCCGCCTCCTCTCTTCTCCTCCTAAATTCCCGGATAGGTGGATTCAAATAAGAGGNCAACTTCTCAATTTCTAAAGAAACTCAGTGGGGGTTCCATGAAGTATCATTTCTGCCCTTTTCGAAACAACCCCAGATGCTTGGAAGCAAGAACTAACAGATGTCTTTGTCCGCGCAAGTTCGGTCTATCTGTTTGTTCTGACTGTGTCTTCCTGTTTCTTAGTAATTCTTACAATTCTACTTTATACGTAAACTACTGAAATAAAAAGAGGGGGGGGAGGATTTCAATGGTTCGGTTACAATGTTAATCTCCAGATTATGGCTTACTGCCAGGTTTATTCATCTTCATGGTCATCACAACTGTTATATCATGCTTTACCTTCGGTGAAGTAGTCCAGTATTTTTTGCATTTGTGTAATAAAACTTTTTTATTACTTACACATCTTTGAAATCTGTGCAGGTGCAAGGTGTGAAGTGGAAAAGATATCCAGCTCTGAACCGAATTCTTAAAGGACATCGTCGTGGTGAATTTACAGTTCTCACTGGACCCACAGGCAGTGGTAAAACAACATTCATGAGTGAATATTCATTAGATCTAGCAATGCAAGGTGTCAACACTTTGTGGGGAAGTTTTGAGATCCGCAATGCTAGACTGGCTCGTACCATGCTCCAACAAATGGCAGGAGTACCTTTGGACTCACATCTGGATCAGTTCGACATGTGGGCAGATAAATTTGAATGTCTTCCTCTTTATTTTATGACATTCCATGGTCAACAGTCTATTAAAGTGGTCATGGAGGCAGTAGAACATGCTGCTTATGTGCATGACATTGCTCATGTGATTATTGATAATGTGCAATTTATGATGGGAATTTCAGAAGAGGCTAGGCATGTTGATAGGTTTTGGAAGCAAGATGCTATTATAGCAAGTTTTCGTGCATTTTGCACGAAGAAAAATTGTCATGTTACATTAGTAATACATCCTAGGAAAGAGAAAGATATAGAAGATCTCACTATTAACTCTATTTTTGGAGGTGCAAAAGCCACACAAGAGGCTGATAATATTCTTATAATCCAGGATAAACGGTTGACATCTGTACGAGGCAAGAAATACTTGCAGGTAAACCTAGTAAAATTCAAATACTCCAATTTACAGTAGCATTGGGAAAGAGGACCAGTAACCAGAGATGAAAAATGCACAGAATCTTAAAAGAATCCTGTTATTCTTTACTTTGTGTTCTCAGTAATTTCTTGTGGTAAGTATTCTTTTTATGGAAAAATATTATGTGTAATAATATATCACATATTTGAGTTTTTTTATGGTAGTTCCATGCCAAGTCACTTTTGTGTGGGGTGGTGAAGGCATTGTATAGAGTTAGACTGTATGTTCCTTACTGCCTCTGTCTTCAAGGTGAAATTACCACATGGCCCCTGCAGAAAATTAAAAGTGCATGTCTACTGTTTCTGTGTTGAGCTTCAGCCAATAAGAACAGGGCAAAAAGATGGCCTTTATAAGTGCCAGCCTTTTCCTGAGAGGAGGTAAAGAGCTGATATATTTGAGAAACCTATATGAAGTGTGAGTCAGGGTTAGAAGTAGGAAGAATAGCAGAAGACAGGTTGGGGGGAAGGGGGTAGACTAAGTCCAACATGGTGGCATTCTGAGACATTTATACCACAACAGGTCTAGGGCCCAGAGTTCTCTTCTTTGAAATGTTTCATCAAAATTGACAGGTCATTACCAAAATTATAAACATGGCAGCAAAACTGCAGAAGCATAAATTAGTATATGAACATGCTGTATTAAAATAACAGTTCAGATTAATTTGTTTTACATACGTTTTTAGATACAGAAAATCAAATACTTATACCTATATCTATACCTTAGATACCGCCCTGTAATCCAACAAGCTACATGCCAGACACATGACAGCAGGCAGTAACTGTAACCGCTCACTTCCTTGGGCCCTTTATGTTGGGCGCCACGCTGTTACCATCCTCCCTTTATCCTACATTTGTGCTCCACTTATCACCGTCCTCCCTCTTCTCGTGGATGTCGAGAAATTAGGTGGGAAGGGAGGAGAATTGTGGTTGTTGGAGCTGTTACGCAAGAGCAGGTAAAGACAGGAGTATCTGGGTTCTGTTCAGTAATTTGTAGAGCTGGGTTCATATTCCGGGTCTTATACGGGTCTGGCTCGGGCAGGGCAGGAAGAACCTTTCTCTACAATCACACACACCTCTTTAGACCGTTGCACTTAGTAGTCCTTTAATTCCCTTCAGCTTATTGAATACAACTGAATTCATCAGTACACTTAATATGAACTTTACTTATAATACTTTTCGGAAGGGCCGTAATTGTAAATTTTGTGTCCGACTTTGCCGAAAGTTGTATGAAGACTCCTCGAGGTGGAATGCCCTCTCTCTGAATCCTGAGGTCCACAAACCCCAGACTCCAAGAGAAATCCACTCCTCCACTTCTGCCATTGGTTAAGTTTTCAAACTAGGAGGTTCCCTAAATTTTGAATTCCCAATCATGTTGCTTTGCTATGTGATTCTGGCAGATGCTGACCTGACGCTAAGGTTCACAGCCCTTTGATGCATTACGACCATGGGATGAGGCTCCGGCCATCCCACTTCTAAGTTATAGCTGTCCCAAGCTGTCAGCTCTCAAATTCTCAAAGACTTTCCGACTTTGCTGAAACTGCCAGAATTCCAGGAAAGTACCAGATGTTACTTCCTGTCCACATAGCAAAACTTGAACTATGTCCCTTCCGCGTGTAAGAGCTGGCTATCTGCCGGATCTCTTTGTTTGTAATTTTGTAATCTTAACTTAATACAGATTTAATTAATGCACAATAGTTCTCCAATCAGAATGAACGGTTACATAACCACCATCAATAGTTCTGGCAATAACTGAGAATTCCTCTACATATTTATCTGCTTACATGACAAACTTCCACATCAAATTGCTACTACACATCCAGGGCTCACTACTTTCACCAGACACTAACAGCTATGTACCCGCATACTACATTGTGCATCTACCATACACAAAATTCTTCAACAGCATGGTGCAGTACCTCTTACACACCACTGTACCTATTATACATACACTGCTTGAGAGGAATACAGGTCTACCAATAATAGTAAATGCTATCAGTAGATACTGTGCTGCTCCTGTCACTTAATCATACATATACACCCTTCCTACAGCACACTTCAGGACCACATTACACATCAGCCCCCCCCCCCNCCCCACACACACATTTTAACCCCTTTTAACAATTTAACTAACCATTGTAATTTATTTTTGTATCTTCCTTGGGGTAAAGGGCAGCTGGCACATAAGGCTGATAACCTTACTGCCATATGTGAATTAATTGTCTAGAAAATGTGGGAGCCTCAATGTCTCACAACCCTATGGGCCTCCACAGCCTGTTACAGGGACAGCTTTACCTCATCTAACCTTTTTTATTTTTTCATTTCACACAAATTTATCACAGCATTTTTCATCGTAAAGTTGGAGCCATTTAACGCTGTAATTCAATAATGATATGCTTTATTTATTTATTTATGAACTGCTTGATGGTCCATGCAACTGAAATATGTAGTGGTAAGTGGGACAATAAAATTGATTAAACCATTCATATGTTGTATGTATTTTAATTTATTTTATTAGAATTAGAATTATTTTACTTTGTTGTTGTGTTGACGGCCCCACACCCTTGATGTTTGTGAGTGTTGTTTATATAAATACAAAGTACACTTATGGTTTCAGGTGGCTAAGAATCGCTATAGCGGAGATTTGGGTGTCATGCCATTAGAGTTTGATAAAAGCAGTCTTAGTTATGGACAGAAGAAGAAGAAAGTTCCTGACGAAGGTAGCACTCCAGAACAAACATAATGCTTGCTGCAATACATATGAATTATAAGTTAACCCATTCAGTGTTTACAGATGTGGTGTATTATACTGTACAATGCAATGGAGACTTTGGCTTAGCAGTGGAAGTGTTAAAGTACAGCTGTGAATCAGTGTTTTTAATATAATGCTTTATTTTTTATGTGATTTTTAACAAATTTTTTCTATGATTCATGATTGTACTTCTGTTTTAAAATGTTCCTACCAACCTCAAAGATATGTGAATTAATAAATTATGTATTTCATACAGATGCGTCACTGTATTTCCTTCCAATAAGTCAGTACTGCGCAAACCTGATTTGTCTTCAGCTGGAGGTCTTATATCTGAGGCCTGTCATCTTGAGTAATGTTTTTCATGGTTGTCCTCAGTCTGTTTATATTTAAATGGTAACATTTTACATGCTTGCTATGTGAGCTCCTTGTTTAATACAAGATCACAAATTTTTAAAAGCAATATATTTTACAGCCGTGTTAGGGGGGGTCCCTTGTCACCACAGCATGGTGCGTCCTCAGGTTGCAGATGGAGGAGAGGTCGCTGGTGTGATATCATCATTCTGAATGTTTATACCCTAACAGAAGATAAAATTGATGACATAAAGGACAGGTTCTACAAAGCACTAGAACATTTATTTGATAAATAACTGAAGTATCATATGAAAACTTTGTTAGGAGATATCATTGCCAAAGTAGGTAAGGAAGATATTTTCAAGCCAACAGTTGGGAATGAGAGTTTACATGAAATTAGTAATGATAATGGAGTTAGGGTGGTAAACTTTTCCACATCAAAAAATCTTATTGTCAAAAGTGCATACGATGTTCCCACATCGTAACATCCATAAATTTACTTGGAGATCTCCTGATGAGAAGATACACAATCAAATAGACCATATTTTGATAGATAGGAGATGGCACTCAAGTATACCTGATGTCCGACCATTCAGGGCAGCAGATTGTGATACTGACCACTACCTGGTGGTGGCAAATTAGGAACAACTGGCATTGAGCAAACAAGTAACACACAGAGTTCATATGGATAGGTTAAATCTCAAGAAATTACATGAGATAAAGAGTAAATAGCAATAGTGTGTTGAAATCTCAAAGAGGTTCGCATCTTTGGAAAACTTTGACACTGAGGTGGATATTAATAGAGCCAGGGAAACTATTAGAATATCAACATTTCTGCCAAAGAGAGTCTAGGTTGTTACTATAGGATTCTGATGATGGTGTATAACACACAGAGATATTGGGTTTTTGGACTTTATCCATCATCCTCGTTTTTAAGATAACTGAGAAACTGTTTTTCTCAGTTATCTTAAAACCAGGACGATGGATAAAGTCTGAAAACCCTTCATCAAGCCGTGGGTTATGCTTATTAAATTCATAATAACCTAGACTCTCGGAGATATTGGGTTTTCGGACTTTATCCATTATTATTATTATTATTATTATTATTATTAATTTAAGAAGCATAAGCCACGGTTTGATGAAGGGTGCTCAAAATTATTAGACCAACGGAAACAAGTCAGATTGCAGTGGTTACAGGACCCAAGCAAAATAAATGGGGATAATCTGAACAATATAAGACGTGAGACCAGCAGGCATTTCAGGAATAAAAAGAGGGAATATCTGAAAGACAGACTTGATAAGCTTGCAATGAACAGTAAGAACAAGAACATCAGAGACCTGTATAGGGGAATAAATGACTTTAAGAGGGGTCACCAACTTAGAAGTAACTTAGTGAAGGATGAGAATGGTGATCTGCTTATGGATTACCACAACATTTTGAATAGGTGGAAGAACTACTCTCAGTTATTGAATGTATGTATACATAGGGTCAGTGATGTTAGGCAGATAGAAATACATACAGCTGAGCCATTAGTACCTGATCCTGGTCCTTTTGAGGTTGAAATTTCTGTTGCGAAGTTGAAAAGTTATAAATTGCCAGGTAATGATCAAATTCTGCCAAAACTGATTCAAGGAGGAGGTGAAATATTATGTTCTAAAATCCATAAGCTAATTAACTCTGTTTGGAATAAGGAAAAACTGTCTGATTAGTGGAAGGAGTCTATTATTGTACCAGTTCACAAGAAGGGTGATCAAACTGGCTGTAGTAATTATCATGGAATATCACTGCTATCAACTTCATACAAAATATTATCCAATATTCACCTCTCAAGGTTAAGTTCATATATAGATGAAATTACTGGATGTCATCAGTGTGGATTTCTATGTAACAGATCAACTACTGATCAGATCCTTTGTATTCTTCAGATATTGGAGAAAAAATGGGTGTACAGTGAGACAGTACATCAGCTATTCATACACTTCAAGAAAGCCTATGATTCATTTAGGCTGATTAAAATGTGTTTAAACGAAATTTATAGTAAAGTCGGTATAGGTAAACATTTGTCTGATAATTTTACTATCCAGGATGATCTAAAACAAGGAGATGCTTTATCACGACTGCTTTTCAACTTTGCTTTAGAATATGCCATTAGGAAGGTCCAGGAAACCTAGGTTGGACTGAAATTAAATGGGACACATCAGCTGTTGGTCTATGTGTATGCTGATGATGTGAATCTACTGGGTGATAACATAGATAAGGTAAGGGTAAAATTGTCCCTGTGCTTAACTAATTAGCACTATGCCATGAAGGCATATGGAGGAGTGAATGTATAGATCCACATTTACTTGACCTCCACACTAGCTGGATGTGAGTGGTCAGTTTCACGCCCCTGCTGCTTTACCCCTGCGGAAAGAGCCTCCAGTACTCACTGGATAGGAGGTTGGGTGGACTTCAGAGCCGATCTGGATGACGTGGATAACATAGGTATCGTAAAGAAAAACACACAGACCTTATTTGACGCTAGTAAGGAGGTTAGGCTAGAAGTAAACACAGAGAAAACTAAGTGTACACGTATGTTGCTGTCTCGTCACTAGAATGCAGGGCAAAATCATGACATGAAGATAGCTTAACAGATGTTTTGAAAACGAGGCACAGTTCAGATATTTTGGAATCACTGTAACAAATCAAAACCTGATTCAGGAGGAAAGTAAGAGGAGAATGAATTTGGGTAGTTCTTGATACCATTCAGTCCAGAAACTTTTGTCTTCTCATTTGCTAACAACATAAAAATTATAATACACAAAACTATAATTTTTCCTGTGGTTCTGTATTGGTGTGAAATTTGGTCTCTGCTATTAAGGGAGGAACATAGAGTGAGGGTGTTTGCAAACAAAGTGTTAGGAGAATATTTGGACAGAAGAGAGATGAAGTGAGGGGAGGCTGGAGAAAAGTGCATAATGAGCGTTGTAACTTGTACTCTTCTCCAATTATAGTTCGAATGGTCAAGTCGAGGATGCGATGGGCAGGGCATGTAGCATGAATGTGGCAAAGAAGGGTGCGTATAGGATATTTGTGAGAAAGCCAGAAGGAAAGAGACCACTGGGAAGACCAAGGTGTATGTGGGTTAACATTATTAAAATGGATCTTAGACAGATAGGATGGAATGTTATGGATTGAATTGATCTGGCTCAGGATAGAGAACAGTGGTAAAAATAAATATATTTAATTTATGAATCCTTAGCAGTAAAAATTACAATTTAAAATTGCATTCTTTGTATTACGAATTTGTGACCTTTTCCTCAGATTTGACAATATGTAAGATGAACAAGAGGATGAAAACAATGCCAAGTGAGTGCATCAGTTAATTGGAAATAATTGACCAGATGTCACTTAGGTATCTACATGAATGACGTTTGTAGTCTGTTGGCCATACCGCTACCCTAACTTTCAGTAAGTGGTATTTGACTGCTAGCTGATATTTAGATTCAATTATTGATTAATTAGTGCTTGGTGCCTATGGCAAGAAAAGTTAATGGTTTTTATATGACGTCTGAATTTGGTCAAGGGATCTGTTCTATTAAAACTTGGCGTTTTTTAAATTTACCCCGGGCCAATGAACTTAACGAAACCAACTGGATTATGTGGTTATTCTGTTTTCATAAAAGAGGATACAATTAGCATAAAACTATACATTCTTTGCTCAATAAAGAAACTAATAATAGAAAGATCTTCCATAATTCATTTTAAGTAAAACGTTAACGCTGTATTCGACCGTGCTGTAAGAAGGAAACCCACTTACAATGTTCTCGTATTGGCGTCACGATCGGTCACGATTACCGACATCACCGCGATGACCGCGATCACTACTATGACGGCAATGACCTCTCACTTATCACCTACCACTTGACGGAGAAATGAGCGGAAGCGAAAGCGAAAGCGAAAGCATGGGAAGGCTAAGGAGCACGTGTTTTTGAATAACTGCCAACAGAATATAAACACAATGGCGGCAACGAAGCGGGTGGAGGGCACAGTTAGTTGTATTTTGATGAGAGGGTTGTATGTTATGGTATTATTTATGATGATTGGCAACGTAAGAAATGGCGATTCGTACCAAAGAGTCAACAAGGACTGTACAGTTGTCATTGCTTTTCTAGTAAGAAATAAAGCTCACACATTGCCATATTTTTTGACGTTACTTGAGAGGTTAGACTATCCAAAAAACCGAATTTCTTTATGGTAAGTTCCAACTTGTACGGCTGGTGGTTTTTATGTGATAAGTGGTAGAATTGTGTTCAAATGTATTTTGTCAAATAAGATCCTCTGAAGGTGTACGTACTACGTGAGGAGTATTTTATGTTACGGAATGTGAAGAAACAATGGAGTGAGGTGCATGTTTCACGTAGCTGGTTGACGTTACTTTTTAGAAAATAACCACACCATTTACTAGAGTCGAAATATGAATTGGTTTATGGTATGGCATCGTGAAAAAGAAAAAACACCGTACGTTGTTCAGGAAGATTCAGTAGATATATTTAGGCTCTATGAGCCCATGTTCTGTTAAATACACGTTCTCTTTTCCACAGTTAACCAATTTACATATTGCATCTTACAAGGTTTCTGTTAATAATATAAAGTTTTTTAGCTTCTCAAATAATATATTGTCTGAAACAATAAAATCTATTAAATTATATATGAGATGTGAGGTAGGGTACCATAAGAATGGAAGGAGGAACTGATAATCAGTATACATGATACTATACACTATTTTCATGTTACTGCTGTAGAATCTTAGCTTTGTATCTGTTGCAATTTATTTACCACAATGTATGCCATTAGTTTAGTGTTTCACGCTTCCAGACCCCCTCATTCATTCCATTGCTGTAGAAAATGCTTATTTAGTCACTCATGAGATGAGTAATTACTGTATAACATGGTGTAACTATCTAGGTTTAAGGATGGCGTTATTATTGTCAGTTAGCAGTAGCATGCAATATTCTAGTATGTTCAGAAATATGTTTGATATCACAGTTGATTCTGTGAAGATTATGCTGTATTAATCAATTGTGTATCGGTTCATGACTTTTTCCTTTGTCTCTAGCTAGACTGTATGGCATCAAATGCTAAGCTGATGGATGAATGGCAAATTGGAAAGAATTTATTTGAAGTGGCCCTGTATTGATCGGGGGGTACATGGTAATGTAGTTGGTTGAGGCACACTGCTACAAGCCAGAAGGTCGTGGGTTCAAGTCCCGACGAGGTCGTCGGATTTGTTCAGTTGTACTAATCCTTCTAGCTGCACTATGGCCCTGTGGTCGACTGAGCCTCTAACAGAAATGAGCACCAGGAATATTCTTTGGAGTAAAGAGCGGCCGGCGCTTAAGGCTGACAACCTTGCTACCATCTGTGAGCTGATTGTCAAGAAATTGTGGGAACCTCAACATCTCACAACCCTATGGGCCTCCACGGCCTGTTACAGGGATACCTTTACTTTTATTTTACTTTTACTTTACTTTTACCTGTCTTGATGAAGAAAATATTCTGGGCATCTTCCTGTAGGAACTGAGGAAAACCATGAAAAACCTCAGGATACCTGGCGTCCCAGACAAAATTCAAACCTAGCATCCAAAATATGAGTCTGGAATGTTACTACTGTGCTGATTCATTTGTAGTACATGCTATATATTCTCCTTAGGACCCATATATTGATGTTCAGAGAAGAAGCATATTGATTTTCCTGGTTCCAGATCCTTACATTGAGTCTGAACATTCCCCGAGATATGGTGGGTGACCTGATCACTGAAAAATCATGCATTGTAGTGTGCCTCACTGAATAGGTCTGCAGTGAGATTTGTATTTGTATTTATTGTAAATGACTAAAGGATTTACATCCACCAACCTCCTTTTGTCCATTGCATTGCCACACATGATTCATTTGTAACAAATCTTATAAACTGCTACTGTTTGTCTTTCATTGTGTGTTTGCATCATGTTTGTAACATCCACTGCCAGTAAGCAGTAACACTTTGAAAATGCACCATGCATAATACCACATAATTTTGCGCAGGATTCGTAGTGATCATAATGAAGACAGAACTTTAGAAATCTTGAAGATTTGGCTCTCGTCTGTTAAGAGTCAGTACCATTCTGTAAATGCAGAGCTTCTGTCTTCTCCTCCTGAACGGCTGCCTGAAGAAAAGGGACCAGCTCATTGGCCTTCTTCACGGTTCACACATATTATTCAGTTGCGTGAGGAGGCTTTGGTTGCTGCCAGACAGATGTGGGCTGACTATATATGGGTGAGTGTCCAGTTAGCTCAAATCAGCAAGTTTGTCAAACACAATAATTTTTTTTTGTAATATGTCATTGTATGAAGGTTGATTATGTTCAAATCAAATTATGTGCTTCTTCTGGATGAAAATAAATTACCCTACACATTGTGTGCTTATGGAACAGTGATTTTTGGAGAAGTACTTTCTTCCTGTAATAAATAAAAGACTTATTACCAGTGGTGGAGTGAGTTTCTTCAGTGGTGTTAGCCAGATTGCAAGGCAGAAGGAGGTTGTGAAAATTTTGACAGTTGAGCTTGTACATTATACAAGCTTGGGAAAACCGCTGCAGAAACGCACCAAATGTTGAAGCAAGCTTTTGGTGACAACAGTTTAGTCCAGACACAAACTTACAACTGGTATAAGCGTTTCAAAAATGGCCGAACATTGACTGTTGATGACAATTGTTTGGGACAGCCGTCAACTGGCACCACACCAGTAAATGTCACGAAAGTTAGGGATCTGATTCTGCAAGATCGTAGACTGATCATCCAAGACCTTTGTAACACCTTGGGACTAAGTTATGGTACATGTCAGCGAATTTTGTCAGAGGAACTGAACATGAGGAGGACTGTGGTGAAGTTTGTGCCACGACTGCTGCAAAATGAACAGAAGCAGCATCGCTTGGAAGTCTGCAGGAAACTCCAACAACAGCTTCAAGAGGATCCAAACTTTTGTTTCGAATGTTGTCACTGGTGACAAAAGTTGGGTTTATGGCTACAACCCTGAAAGTAAGCAGCAATCGTCGCAATGGAAGAGTCCTTCTTCACTTCGGCTAAAAAAGCTCGACAAGTCAAGAGCAACATTAAGTCTATGTTGATCTGTTTTTTTGAGATTGACGAGATTGTTCATAAGGAGTTCGTCCCTCCTGGTCAGACAGTAAATAAATAGTTTTATCACAATGTTCTAAGGCATTTGAGGGAGGACATGAGGAGAAAACATACAGAGAAGTGGCACAAGAACAACTGGGCACTCCACCATGACAACACACGACTGCATACGGCTTACATTGTGCAGGAATTTTTGGCTCAAAACAAGATGGCAGTTGTTCCCCACCCACAATACTCGCCAGACTTAGCTCCATGCGACTTCTTTCTCGTCCCCAAAATGAAAATAAAGTTGAAGGGGCGAAGATTTGATACAGTTGAGGAAATTTAAGTGGAAACGCGGACGGTACTAAACACCCTAACAAAGAAAGACTTCCAGGATGCATTTCAAAAGTGGCAGAAATGCTTGGATCGGTGTATGCGCTCCCAAGGGGACTACTTTGAAGGTGATAAGATCCAGGTGAGACGTAATACTTTTTATTAATATATTTGGATTGCACCATGTATTTTTAAAACAAGAAAATCGGAATTGTTCATAGTGTCAGTCTCCATCATATTCAACAAGCATTGAAGCAACTGAAGTGTGTTAACATTCCTTGTCTGGCTAATGTGAGGATTTGCACCCAAGCAACTAGCATAAGAACGAAGGAACTGACTAACAACACCTGTGATGGGCTAGCCTGAGGTGGCAGATAAGGCACTATGTATAAAGTATCACTGAACCATGAAAATAACACTTTATGCTTCATTTTTCAAAGTAGTAACCAGGCTAACGCAGTTGATATGAACACTCCACTATTGCTTGTTACGTACTCTAAGCAGGAGTACTGATTCAGTATTTGATTCATATATATACTTCAGCTCTGTACTCCACATCTCCATACCTTAATGCATTTTTTTTTATATTCCATTATAGCATAGTTATTAAGGTGTCATATTAGACTCTTTAACATACGAGGGTTGGAACTTTAATAGTGGCAACACTGCTATAGAGACACCATGCAACGGAACCAAATAATGTCGCTTGTACCACACGTTAGTTACATAGCTACCTTACCTCAGAGCAAATGGACTCTCCCTTCCCACGTCATGCACGTGCGTGGTGACGAGAAGAACAGAGCCTCGTGTTAGCTGGCGGTCTAATGTTGTGTTGTCACGAGGTTTTCAAAACAGGAACAACAGAGTTGGATAAAGATTGAATGTGCCAGAGGCCATACAGCACAGCAGTGTCATCAAGGTCTTCAAGAGGCTTGCGGGGAATCTGCATTGCCTTACAGAACAGTGGCAAGGTGGGTAAAAGCCTTCAACGAGGGATGCCAAAATGTGGCAGACATGCGTCGCCCAGGTCGTCCTAGTGTCAATGAAGAAGAAGTGTATGCTCTTTCCTCGTTACTGGAGAGTGATCGACGCCATACGATTCGTGAGCTTGTCCGAGAGACAGGATTAGCGCATACAACTGTGCTTCACATTCTGAAGGAAGGCTTGGGCATGAGAAAAATTGCATCATGATGGGTTCCGCATGATTTGACGGAAAATTAGAAATGGCAACCTGTGGCTAATTTGTTCGATCGATGGGGCTGGGAAGTGCTGTACCATCCACCATACTCCCCGGACTTAAGTCCTTGTGACTTTGACTTGATTCATAAGATGAAGGAACCACTTCATGGCATTCGCTTCAGAACTGTCCCAGAGATTCTTCAGGCAGTAGACCGCTCCATTTGAAATATCAACACAACAGGTGCTGCTAAATGTATCCTACAACTTCCACATTGCTGGAAACAGGATGTACACAATGCTGGTGACTACATTGAAGGACAGTAAAACTTCGAAACATGCATCAGTATCAGTTGTAAGTAAATAGTTGCCACTATTAAAGTTCCAACCCTTGTATAAGAAATTTCTTGGATAATCTGCTCTTTGTATAGAGTGCCATAATGCACAAATACTGATAAAGTTGTAATAATTGTAATGTTTTACAGTTCCTTGACAGCGATGTCTTCATAACAAACCATGAAATTTTGAAGTTGCTCATTTCAAAAGGCCATACTGTGGCAGCACCAATGCTTAAGTCTGACGGGATGTACTCCAATTTCTGGTGTGGGATGACAGAAGAATATTACTACCTCCGAACTGAGGACTACAAGCCTATCTTGCAACGTGAACGTGTGGGTTGTTTTCATGTGCCAATGGTTCATTCCTCGGTACTCATTGATCTTCGCCGAGCCTCCTCAAATGGCCTTACTTTTGTGTCCAGTGAAGTGCCTGATTATAAGGGACCACATGATGATATTATCACATTTGCCCTTGCTGCTAATAAGTCTGGTTGGTATAGAATTTAATATTTTATTTTTACTCATACGGATTTGTTGTGTGTTATCTTTAAGTATCATAATCAGTACTATAACCCTCATTGTAAGATGTGTGGTGACCAGATATCCTATAATATCTTGTACAGTCCTGAATTTGTATTGTCATGTCTTCATATCCACAGGTTTGTAGGGTAACAAATTATGAGATGAAACACAGTTAGACTTTTGTGACTTTACAGTGCAATGTATTATCCTTAAGTGAGAATCACATGGATATTGTAACGTGTTTCATTACTGAATATGCCGTAGAGATCGTTAACTGGTTTATTGAACAATCTACAACTATCGGCTACACTTACTTATCACACAGTTGCGGGGTTTCACACTTTATAACCCTAATCGCATTAATCTGTTAACACTGTTGCGGGGTTTCACACTTTATAACCCTATGCGCAAATCAGCTCACTCTGTCTTCAGTAGTCTACACGTATACAGTAGGGGAGCTGTGTATCACTGTATCGCACGCTCCCAATTACACAATCACACACACGTCCGGTTCTTCTTTCCGCGACGGCTGCTATACTCCAACTGTAGTCTGCTCACTGGAGAATTGTTGATAACACACTCGGCGACTGTCACTTTATAACTCGACTCGGCGACTGTTGCTTTATAACTCTGCGACTGCTACATTAGAACTCTGCGGTAGGCACATTAGAACTGACTGGTAGCTACTGTGCAGCTCACTTATATAGCTGCAGTGCTTGCCTGTTGCCTAATGAGTGCCATGTCACAGTAGGAAGTTGATTACGGGTACATAGCGTTGCGCGTTACGTCACCGCGGAGGGGAGTGGCGGGGAGGGAACTCGCCTATTACTGTAGTAACGCGAGCGTTACGTTACCGCCACGTACCGCTGGGGAGGTAGGCGTGATCCATAGCTTAACATGTCACAATATATTAATAGTTTTCATTGTAAAACCATCACACTTTTTCATGCTGAGCCTCAGAATCCTCTGAATTTCTGGTTTAAGTCTCACCTTCAGTTGGTGATTAATTAAGTAAAATTAAATCATTATTATGGAACATTACCCATTATGTACACATACAATCAAAAGTTCATGAACTTCTTCAGCAGTCACTGAACATCACAGTACTTGTACAAATCTTCACATCTGAGTATGTGCAGATATAGAAGGAAAATGTATTCAGAATTTTGTTCTGATGTGTGTGCTCAGTGCTCAGACAGCATGAAATCACCAGAGTTTGCTCGGTTTAGTCACGTTTGTTATTTACATAATGTGATACACCAGAATGCCATGATTTGAAATGCAAATGAATGTAAATTTTTGTGTACAGCAAGACAAAATATTCTCACAAACTATAATGTTATTAGAGTCAAAGTGCGGATGTCATGCCTCATAAATTATAGATGTGTCTGTGCATTGCCATCACTGTTTGGAAGTACAATGAAACCCTCTTTTAATTCTTTGGGAAGCAGTGGACCTGAACATTAAACTTCAGAAAATCTGAGCTGGAGGAAATTTAACATTGTTATTGTAACATGTCTGTGGTGTGATGTGACACCAATAAATTGGGTGGGTCTTTGGATCGGAATAAATTCCTTTATTGGATGCTTATTTTTACACTTACACATACGAGGGGGGGACCCAAAAATAACCGGAAACGACCTGTTGCGCACACATGCTTTGTAGTTACGAGTTGTGCTGCTAGGTGGTGTTAGCTTGGGGTCTCCCGTGACTGTTAGTGAGCTGGCGTCAGTCTGAGTTAAGTGGTTTGTCTGTGGTGCTCTGTTGTGTGCGTTCCTGTTTCAACCCTTTGGCGATTAGTGAGATGGCCAACCAGAAGGAACAAAGAGTGTGCGTGAAATTGATGAAGATCGTCGAAAGAACATTGACCAACTTTCTGAGGAAACGAACATCTCATGGAGCACGGTCCAGCGAATTTTAACCGAAGGTTTGCACACGAGACGGGTGTCTGCAAAATTTGTTCCTCGCTTGCTTGGAGATGACCAAAGAGAAAACCACGTGAATGTTTGCCGCGACCTGAAGAGTGAAGTGCAGTTTTCCCTAACAGAAAGCAAAATTTCACGCACACTCTTTGTTCCTTCTGGTCGGCCATCTCACTAATCGCCAAAGGGTTGAAACAGGAACGCACACAACAGAGCACCACAGACAAACCACTTAACTCAGACTGACGCCAGCTCACTAACAGTCGCAGGAGACCCCCAGCTAACACCACCTAGCAGCACAACTCGTAACTACAAAGCATGCGCGCGCAACAGGTCGTTTCCGGTTATTTTTGGGTCCTCCTTCATACACATATTCACAATTCCAGTATCACAGTTACTGCTTCTGCTATAGTCGAAGCCAAACTGAAGACTGACTGCTACTGACTGATCTCTTCAAAGGTCAAACACAAACTGAACTTGTCTCTAAGTCCAAGTCTAAGTCACATTGCGACTGACGGTCCATCAGTCTGTCTGTCTTGGTGTCGAGCCCTGACTGGGGCTCATGACCAGATTTTTCTTTTTTCTTATATGAAAGTTACTGTCCTGTTCATTTGGGGTGCCCTCTCTGACAAGAGGTAGGCTCTGTCATTTGTCAGTCATAATCTGTGTCAATAAGTTCGTTGTCAGTATTTACGTATATTTACAAATTTAATCTTAATTCCTATTTTTATGTACAATATATACAAGGCCTCTGTCAATCCAGGCTCAGTACAGCAGATTTTGCCCTATTTCTACCAGTATTTGCTACCACGGCAGTCTAGTCACTTGAACAGTAGTATTCCTGACCACCGCCAAGTTTAAGCTGCTCATACTTTCTGTGTTGGACGAACTTGTCTCTTGTTGAAGCTGGAGTTTTATAACCTTGTCTTGGATGTTGTTATGCAACGAACCCTCTGTTGTATTTTCATCTCCGGGGAATGGCATTTGTTGTTTACGCTGTTCCTATGCAGCAGCCCACTGTTAATGCGTTTCCATGAAAGTATCCCTTCTGGATTCATGTCATGTGACATTATTATTGACTTGAGAGCACTGAAATATAATACTGAGTGAAGGAAAACCTTGAAGGGAGGAACATTAAGTGGGTGCTCCTCTGTTCCTGTATTTGTGAATAAAGACAAAGGTGAAGTTGAAGAAAACAGTCTTGTCAGATGTGGCGCCGTGTAGATATTGTGTTAACACAATATCTGCACGGTGCCACATCCCAGAAGATTGCTTTTTCATAGTCACCGTCATGAAAACCTCAAATCTTACAAAGGTGAAGTTGTTCCAGTGCATAATTAATTAAGCACTCAGTCATGATGTGAAGATGTAACTTCATGCTTGATCTTGTCAGTAGATGGAGGTGAATGGTCAGCTTGATGCCCTGGCCACTTTACCCCCAGGAAAAGAGAGCTAGTTTAAAAATATTGAGTAAAGAGGACCCAGGCTGGTTGTGGATTTCTAATCATCAAAGGATGCATAAGCTATGAGTGTCTGAGAAAAACTGCTTACAAGTACAAAATTTGAAAAAGCAAGGAAAGTTGTGATTGCTGCTAAATGTTTTCTTTCTTGATACAATGCATTTTGTAGTGTTTTGTTGGGGGGAGGGGGGTGTCTCTGTAAATACATTTCAACCATTTTACCTGCAGGAGCTGGGCAGCTTAGATGGTATAGTGTGTGTATGACTGAGGAATTATGGTTCAATTCGTGGTAGGGTCAAGAGATTTCTCCCTTCTCTGCAGTGTCCAGTCTAGGCTATGCCCATCCAGCCTCCTGTCTAATGAGTACTGGTGCTTATGTCTCCAGAAATAAAGTGGCTAATTAATGAGGCTGACAACACATCTCTTAATACTGAGGTTAAAATGTATGGAGCTATCCCTCCACTCCCCCATTATCTTTGTGCTGTGGTATTTGATTATATGTAGGAACAGTGTGACCCCTTTAATTTCATATGTACAGATTTAATTGTAAAATATTCTCAGTACACAAATGACAAGTAAGTTGTCCAATATTGATAATGTAATGCTTCCTTTTGAACATACTCTTTGAATTAAGAAAATCATAGTTAAAACATATTTGCAAAAAATGCCACTTTCTACATGTGTTGCATCTTGTTTTTCAGGTGTACCACTATATATTTGTAATGATCATATTTATGGTTTTGTTATGGTTCCACTGGAACAAAGTGATTCCTTACAACTTGACTTCATGCAATTAACAAATTTGAAACTGGAAGTGTTAGGTATGTATCTTTATAATGCTTTCTTATAGCAAGTTATGAACTGTGTTTTATATCTCTAATTTCTGTGATTAAGATATTTTTTGGAGCTGTGAATTCTTAACCAAAATAAAATAAAATCCCAATAATAGCAGTAATAGGCCTGTACAGTCAGAAATCTATGTCACAGGTAAGTATTATTATTATTTTTTTTCATTGCTAGTGGGGTGGGACTAAGTCCCTTGTACTGCGGCCACTTCTGGCCTATTGTACCAGCCCCAGATGATAGGTGAGGGTGATTGTGGAGCAGTTGGTGGAATGAAGATTGGCAGGGGAAACCGAAGTACTCGGAGAAAACCTGCCCCAGCGCCACTTTGTCCACCACAAATCCCACTTGACCAGACGGAAGCCAGTGACTAACCACTTGAGCTATGGCGCGGCCTTTCACAGGTAAGTAAGTTTTATGTATTTTGCTCAGAAGATATTCTTTTTTTCATTTAGCTGTGTTGTGAGTTATGGGGTAGTACATTCTATATTTCTAAGCTTACAGTGCACAGCGTGTGCTTCTAGAAGTATGGATTTTCTTCATATTTGGTGCCTGTGATGTCATATTTAGTAAAAGTAGGGTAATTTGCATGAAGAAGGTAATGCAAAATGTTGTCTCCTTAGAAAATGTTGGATTGATACTGATTAAATAAGCGTAATGTGGACTAGGGTGAATGTACAAAAGTAAGTGTCATATCATTTAGACATCTTCATCTCCCTCTTCATTATCCCATGCCCCAAATGAAATTTAAGCAGCTTACCATGGGACTGCTTGTATCCATATTTATGAATAGTATATATTACTAGTTTAACATAAATACTCTTTACAGAAATCAGTGTTATTGCCAATTTACATTCCAGTTTAAAAAATAGAGAAAGTTAGATTTTACTTATTTACTGTTCCAAATCTATCCCCTCCCCCCAGGTTGTCATAGTTGACTGTATAATTAAAGGTCTTAGAAAACAACAATTGGGCTGATGTTTTCAATAAGCATATTGGAGATTCCTTCTGGAGCTCTATCTTCATATTAATTTTTTTTTTCCTCAGTTGAAAATTCCCCTCTACCAGTGAGTGAACTTTTAGCTCAATTTGTGAGCCATCCAGAACGAGACACCATGGGTTTTGACAATATCTATATGATTAATCTTCTCCGACGACCAGAAAGGAGAAAAAGAATGCTGAATTGCTTTAAGGAACTTGGCATTCATGCAACCATTTTGAATGCTGTCGACGGACTGTGAGTACATATACGTTTCATTTAAGTTTGAACTTATTCTTTTTCCACCTGTATTTACATTTTATATGAGTCAATGAACAAACGTCTTCAGTTTCTTCTATCTTTCTACAATTTTTCTTGTTTGATTTCATATCAGCTCTCTCCTGTATGCTTGATGTCTTCCAGTACTCGATTGAACCAGCTTTTGTCGGATCATCATATACGGCTCTTATTTAAAATGTAATTCTAGTGACGTTCTCAGAATCTTGTTCTTTCCATTCTTACATGGTTACACTATTCTTGTGATTTCTCTTGTAACCGTACTGACAAATTTTCGATTCCAGTTCTCAGAAAAATATTATTTTATCTTGACTACTTTTATGGAAATAGAATGGAAATAATACATGTCAAGATTTGGGTGCACAATTTCAGAGGCAGTGTTTCTGGTGGTGTGGGCATCACTAATGGTTATCATACGGTTCCTGTTGATGGTAGACCTGGTGAAATTTAATATATGATTCATGAGCGTAACATATTATTAAAAAAACGTCATAGTGAGCGAAGATTCATGCCCTGTATTTTGTGGATACAAGTGAATGTTACACATGAAATGCCATTGGACTGAAATTCTAGATATTGTTACTTTTTACTTATCGTATTACTTGTTTGCTCAGTAACTAATACACATTAAAATTTGTAAGCATAACAGGAAGGAAAAGACAGAACAGTGTTACTATCAATGTTTGGAGGATTTTGGACAAGAATTTCTAAATTCATTTTGGTGGCAGAAACTTGAGTCAGAAGGGAATTAATCTGCTGAATGCACTCAGATTTTTCGTTCAAGATTCTTTCTGAGTGCCATAAAGTTTGGTTTTATTGTGGGGTATTATGGGGGTATTAAAAGTATTAAAAGCAGGCTGTTGGTTTATTTTCTGTCAGTTACATTTTGCATTTAAGTCATGACTAATAACGAAATTGAGCAGGATTTGAGGTTCCTACAGTGGCAGTTATGAAGAATTTTATTACCTGGGATATAATGTCATATAGTCTGTTGAAAGTTAACTGGCAGTTTCCTCAGAAATATCAGTTGACTTTCCATATACTAAAACAAACAAACTCTGTGGTTTTAGTCCATGAGCAAACTATACCAACTGAGTGACCACCACTTGTCAGCGAAGTTAGTTCCTGTGGTCTAGTGGTCAGAGTTCCTGGCTACAGATCCAGAGGTCTAGGTTCAATTCCCGGCACTACCAGTTTTTCTGAGAAGTAGTGGGTCAGGAACAGGGTCCACTCAGCCTCGTGTGAGGATAATTGAGGAGCTACTTCAACAGAAAAGCAGCAGCTCCGGTCTAGAAAACCGAGATTAATGGCCGTGGGGATCTGTTGCACTGACCATGCTACACCCTCTATCCGCTAAAGTTAGCACTTTCCATATACTACATGGCATTATATCCCAGAAGATAGAACTCCTCACTTCCATTGAGTTTCTTAAAATGCTCTCATCCAAGCTAATTACAGTAAAAATGTGATGTGATGAATTACACTGTGTATGCATCATTTGAGTGGTGATACCAAATTCAGTAGTTGATATAGTGTAATTAAATAACGTACAAACTAAATGAACTCATTTTGAGGCAGCTGCAGGACCGAGTTATATTAATTTGCTTCTCTAGATATGACTAGCTCCAGAATGGAGAGTACTTAAGAAGCGAATGGATGCTCAGCTGGTCAAGAATATGGTTGCTCTTTTCGGAATCCAAATGTTCACTATAATATTCACAGGAGCTCATCACTGGATCCTCTCGAGAACTAGATGAATCCTGTTTGAACATCAAATTTTCTTCCTTACAGTTCATTTTAATATTGTCCTACCATCTATCCCTTTGCCTACCAAATAGTCTCTGTGCTTCAGGCTTTTCTAACCAAATTCCTTTCATGAATTTCTCATTTCTTGTATGCGTGCTGTAGTCTCATCCATCTTATCCTCCTTGCTTTGATAACCCTAATGATACAAGATGAAGAGGTTACAACAACATATGACTAAATGCTGTTATCGCAGATGTTTCACAGTAACTGGGATTTATTGGTCAACAGAAGTAATGCCTGTTGTCTGGTTTTGCATCAGAAGTGATGAATGTCTGCATTCCATTTCCTCCTGCTGATATTTCCTTTTGATTAGAACATTTTAGTACATATTTAATTGGTTTTTCAATGCTTTTATTTTTAATTCTTTTACTGGAATTGCTATAAAACTGTCAAGGGATTCAGTGAAGAGTACTGAACACATGTACTTTCTGGCAAAAGACAAATGCCCAACTGATCATCTCTGTCCTCTTGAGAAACCATGGATGATCGGAAATGGGAATGCTGCGTGTTCCAGAAAATTTAAAAGAAGATTGAAATTAATTATTCATATTATTGGCTGTAAAAAGGTGAAGTTATCCCTGTAACAAGCTGTGGAGGCAATAGGGTTGTGACACATCAAGGCTTCCACATTTTCTAGACATTCGGCTCACAGATGGCAGTGAGGCTGTCAGCCTTACACGCCAGCCACCCATTACCCCCATGAAGATTCCTGGTACTCGTTCATGTTAAAGGCTGGCGTGGCTGGAAGGATTAGGTCAATTGAGAAACCAGTGACCTCATCGAACTTGAACCCGTGACCTTCCAGCTTGTGGCATAGTACCATTACACATTGAATTTACATGAAAGTATAACAGATTAGTTGACTTCTGTGGAACTAATGGGTAGTGTAAGTTGGAGGTTAGCTTAGCCAACTAATTAGATGCCTGAGACATCTTTAACATTTGGAAATTTACCAATTTATTATTCTGAGTTTGAAATTGAATGAAGACGTTACACTTGGTTTGGAAATTATGGCCTGTCAAGACAACAAAATATGTGGAAAAAATGTATTGTGATTTCTTTAACACATTTAATATGGACAACATATAACCTGCCATCATTTTTGTTGGTTTCTATTTTATGAAGCAATGTTTAAATTAATGTGGGTCTAGAAAACCGAGATTAACGGCAATGGGGATCTGTTGTGCTGACTAAGCAACACCCTCTATCCGCTAAAGTTTGCACTCACTTTGCCGACAAGTGGCAGTCTCCAGATTGGTATAGTTTTTTGTGGACTAAAGCCACAGAGTTTAAATTAATCAAGTAACTTGTTTCTGTTGAAAGAAGCACACCTATAAAAGTGGCCCTCGTCCTTACTTTTAAGAAGATTGGTAAAAGAGATAACTGTCTACAGTTGTTAGTTGAACTTGCGAGAAAAAAGTGAGTATAAAATTGACAGAGAAATGTGTGAAAGTGATTCAAAGGAATGGTAAGGAATGTAGCAAGTGATAGAGATGACAAGGGATAAAGACCTGCTACTTTATTTCTCAGGGTCATTAATTAAAATCTGTGGGTATGACTCATGTAATTAACAACAGAGCTGGACATGCTGTGCCTGCTTCTTGCTGGTAACTTGATTGGCTTATTCTTCAACCTTGAAGATGGAGGCAGTAAGTTTGTCTGAAACGTTGGTGAACCTCAGCCATGCTACATTATATTACATCCCAGAAGATATTACTCTTCTGTGGTAACCTCAGTTATAATTAACAGTTATTTACACACATTCCTTTAATAAAATTAAATTCATACTCTGCTCCAGGTCCTGCAGATCATACTTATCGACCTGTTATGATGGGATGTGTGTGTTATTTTCAGACATTACACATTCATCCATATCAGTTAATGAATATTTGTCTCTCCATGTTTTTATTCATGGGCCTTGTAAATTTCGTTCATACTCTGCTTGCAGCCCAACTGGTGATTAATAAATAACAAGCCCAATCAAACTGGCTGCAAGAGAATGGAACTGATGTGTACATCTTTATTGATAAACAAGTGCTATGTTCTGGCAGAGATAACATTTGGAGATAATATTATTTTGTAAGCCCTCACTGATGTTAACAAGTGGCTGTCAGCATAGGTTTGAACATCTGAGACATTCGATCATGATATCCAATGTTGCATTTTGAGATGAAAGGACATATAAAAATTAGGTAATTTACAGCTTAATACAGAAGTATAATGTTGCAAATTACATATATAGCTCTATAAAAGTGATCATTACAAATATATGTGAATGGCACCATTAAACTTGCTTGATTCTAACATAAATGACCCCCCCCCCCTTTGTTTCACCTTTGAAAGCAGTTATGCTTTGCTTAACAGCATTATGTACTTAGTATCTGTAATCATATTTGCCATTATCATAAGGCAAAAGTAAAGGTAAAATTTCCTTTGTGCTTCGCTACTGTTTGAGTACCGAAGGAAGAGGGCCACTTCCTCCACATTACATACCAGTTGTGTGCTGTGAATGTACTGCCAATTCCCTCTCCTTGGCCTTCCGTATCTTCAGGACTCAGTAAGCACAATTCCATGAAGAGGTATGAGGAAATGGAGGTATAGCTCCAGCTTTCTTAAACTCTGATCTTGGTGGAGGTGATTGGTCAGCTTCAAGACCCAGCTCTTTACCTCCTGAGAAAGAGATGCTGATATCCAGTGAACTGGAAGCTGGGTGGTCCGCAGAGTGGGTCTTGATACCACAGTGAGGAGAAGATCTCTCTCCTGCTGGGAATTGAACTCTTTATCATGACATATTCTATACCAGTATTTCCCAGACTGGTTTGCCAACAGAACCCATAGTTGGTTGAGGTCTGTGCTACAAGCTGGAAGGTTGTGGGTTCAAGTCCCGATGATGTCATTGGATTTCTTTTAATTGACCTAATCCTTCCAGCCACACTATGGTCCTGGGGTCGACTCAGTATCTAACAGAAATGAGAACCAGGAATTAATTAAATAATTTTCCTGGGGAATAAAGCGTGGCCGGTGCGTAAGGCTGACAACCTTACCACCATCTTTGAGCAGATTGTATAGATAATGTGGGACCCTCAACATCTCACAAACCTATGGGCCTTCACGGCCTGTTACAGGGATAGCTTTACTTTTACTTACTTACCCGT